AGCATATACTCATAACAGTGCTGAAAAATGGGAATATTTGCTAAATGAAAAAAAAAAATAAATAAAATGTCACTGATACGTTATGTGGAAAATAATGCTTGTCATATTTTAGTTAAGGAATCAAGGTGAATTCTTTGTGCAAGAGTCAGATTTTACACTTAACCTATACTACCCACACGCATTTTTACATTCATCTTTGACGGTAAGAACTATTTTGAATATTCAATTTTGATCTGGCGACTCAAACAGTCAGTAGGTGCCTTATGAACGTCTATATTTCTTTGGTATTATAATAAATTGGCGTGCTTATAATCACCCATTAACCATCTCGATTAGAGACATTTACATCCGTATCAGACGTTTGTAAATAAACAATCCAAGATGGCTGTTCCTTTGTAGCCCAGATCTCCAGTTCTAGTTAGTAGCCACCAAAAAAGAAATTCCATTATCAGGTCTGACTCAAAAATAATGTAAACCAAATTGCAGCTTTAGATTTTTGTGTGAATTTACAAATACAAGGTATATACTTTCCAGGCTTATGTCATTTAACAAATTAATGGATGGGGTCAAAATATGAAATTATCCAGTTAGACGCAAGTTATCCCAGCTTCTCAATAATCTACCAAACACTTGGTGCTCATGCCTTCTCAGAATTGCAAATCAATAATATGACGTATAGGGTCATCGTTACTTATTTTATTCCTTCTATTGTACATGTATTTAAATCTTGTAGAGGGCACACTATAAGCTATGCATGGTGGCTGGTATAAATGGTGGAGGAAGAACCGGAGAAAATCATCGGAAAGAACCACCGATGCACGAGAAGCTCCTGGCAAACTTTCTCACATACCCACATTGACCGAACCCGACACTCGAACTCACGCAGACATAGGTGAGATGGCAGTGATCCGAAATAGTGAGCGCTATTGACCTCTCTGCCACTCGGCTCTCACACACCCCTCATTCCCATTTATAACGTAATCTTTCAGAATAAAAATTTTCATTAGGTAATATTTTTTTTTAAAGAAAATGCTAACTGTAACCTAAGGTCAATTCGAGGATTATGTAAACTTGTTTATCGAGAAATTATTCATTCGAGCTATAGGATCTGAGTGGAGTCGGTTATTATTGTTGTGTCCATCATTTCATTTGGGCTGGAATTTACGTACTCAAATTGTTGAATTAAAGTTATTCTTCTCTCGAAAACATTCTTGGAAATAGTGCCTTACCTATATAGTGAAATGCCAATAAGGAAATATTCTTAGATTGCTTGACTATTGGCATAACACTTACATTTGTCACGATGGATGATAGGGAAATAAATTATTTTGTTGATATATATAACACCAATACTGTCAGTCTGTTGGTGTATCAGATTGTGATACGTCCGTTGCGCATTAATACGCCTGTATAAGATATTTTCTGGACGGCAAGCTATCACATCTATACTCTCTAGATCAACGATAAATTTCCACAGATTAATTATTAACAGCATAACAAGTGAATGACGAGAAAATTATTATCCCCACTTTATACTATACTATAAAAATGCTACGAATTTACTGAAAACCCTTCTTTGTCTTCTTTATGTTATATGTTGAGGACAAAATACCTCCAAATATTTGCGGAGTGAGAAAGAAAAATAATAAGGTTTGGATGAAATCATTGAAGTTGAACTTACACCAAGTGACCTCAGAGAACTTACAAGAACATTGGTCGTTGTAATGGCATGTTTATACTTTCCATGAGACCCATACTACAATTACCTATCGAAGCTGAACACACATACAGTTATAATCGAAGGTTCTAGAATCACATTTTTATAAAAACAATATTACATTATTAGAAAGACGTCCTCCCCTTTTGACTCACTGTCTTGGTTGGTCACGTGGCAGACTCATTGACCAACAGAGAAATATTGACCAACAGAGAACTTCCACTTACCCCCTTCTCTCTCTCTCTCTCTCTCTCTCTCTCTCTCTCTCTCTCTCTCTCTCTCTCTCTCTCTCTCTCTCTCTCTCTCTCTCTCTCTCTCTCTCTCTCTCTCTCTCTCTGGACCATCGTAGCGGATTCGGGCGAAAATTCATGAATATTCGAGCATAGTGGATTTTGCTTATGCAATGAATGATGGTAAAACATAAAGACTAACTGATCAACGGAAATGGGAAAGAGAGATTGAAGATTAAAGCAATCGTAGGGTCGGTAATAGTATAAATTAAAGCATAATAATGTCTTAGATAATATAAACATATATTTAGGTAGTTTAATTACGTGCTGTTGGTAATCTTGACTCTTAGTTTATATTCCCCATTCATTTAAATAAACTGGCCGGTAAGTAAATGGCTGCCTGTTTTGTGTTCAGTAGGTTAGCCATGATGAGTTTGTAGTGCTCTGCTTTCGATTTAAACCTTCTTTCATCTTCAATCATGTGTGCCTAATATTTATTTAATTAATGTCGATGAAAATTGAAGCTTGAAAAAAGAAAAGAGGCAACTTATCAATCTAGCAATTTAGAAAACAAGATGATGTACAGCTGAAAAAAATGCAGAACATTCCGTCTATGCCTAGTTGAATGTAGTAAATCTTATCTCATTTGTAAATGCTAGTATGTGTATTTGATTGTGATATAAATATACTCGATTCTTGGCCAGAATCGTTCAGTATTTTGCGATACTGAACACCTTAATATTGCACGAAAACGTGTATCTAAAATAGTATTGTGTATTAGAAACTACTTTATAAACAAAACATGTACACTTATGCATTAGATGTTTTAAGTTTTAGTGTCTTATATTTTTATGGATGAACTTAAGAAGCTGTTTTGTCATGTTGAAAGCAGGGTGTGGACGATTTTCCAGAGTCACAAATGAAACTTTCAAAGAAAAAAGCAAATGGATGAATGTGATATTCACAATGGGAGAGAAGCAGTATTGAAACTACAATTCTGATCATATAAACAGTTACATAGGAGAAATGTTCGTAACTTTGCATTAATGAAGTGGTTCTCACTATGACCAGTGCTCTCTGGAGTATATAAAAATATCACAGAATATCATATTGAGGCCAAGAGCTATCTTACATGTATCGGAGACTTACTATTTTATATGTCAAAGTACTAAATTCGAGAAAAAATATGCAACTGAAGGTTTTAGTAGAATATACAGTTACCTATAAATGTAAACTCTGTATTATTTATATACCACTCGTTGTATATATTGAATAATTATATCACCAATCATTTAGATTTCTTCAATATTAAGCTATAACCAAAACTATCTTAAATGTCCGATAATCGCTTACTCATAGAATAAATTAAAATTAACACAATTTTTACAACTAAAGAAATAATGATCATATTTCTTAATATATCTGCTGATATAAAGATACGGACAGTATGATTAGGTCTTCATAGACATAAAATTTCGTGTCGAAGAAGCATTCGGATAAGTTGAAATTTTATCGCATAAATGAAAAATTATAGTTTTGAAAACAGTTTTCAGCTAAATAAAATTAAAAAGAGCTACTTTCACTATTGTCAGTTTCAACTATCCGTCCCCACCAGAACCCACCTACTTCTACTCCACTTTATGGCAGAGAACATATATTTTCATTATATTGATATGATTGTGCATGTTGTTACAGCGCATTCTAAGAACCAGTCATGACTTTACTGAGATCCTTAGTTCAAGGTCGTTTAGTTCTGAAGCTTCAGACTGAATCTTATGTTTTTGCGAATCCCGGAAGACCGTATCTTTATGCCACGTGCTTGCATGCCTGATATGCTATAATTTGGCGACATAATTTCTCATGCTTCTTCTTTATATTACTGGAAGAAAGATAACAGTGATAAATCATGACTAGAGTCGTTGGACGGTATTGCTGTCTATTATAGATCAATTTTTTTTGTTCTTGGCCTTGCCAACAGATTAGAAAGCTAATTTACGTTTTAAACACCGATGGATTGTATACTGTTTTCGAACGTTAGTGTTTGGTTATATGTAGCCAAAGACCGAAGTTCGAAACCGGTCGATGTCATGAAAGAGGTAGGCAATGTATGCTTTCTATAAATTATGATTGGCTGAATTGGTATCTTAGCGTGTCAAAAAGAAGTTTAATAAGACAAACACTTATTAAACAAACTTTAGGTTTAATGAATAGCTTCGCTCTAGAACTAATAAACTCTGACAAGTAGCTGACAGGTAGCTGTCAAACTTCACCTTTTAGTTGCAGTGTCTCAGGCAGCTTCCAATGTCTAACAGCCAATCAGATGAGGACAAGGAGCACGGGATATTGTAGTCCAATATAGACTAGAGAAAAGGGGTAATAGGGTCTGGGACCTTACGTGCTTAGACGTTTCCTGATTTCTTTTCTTAGGGATTTCGTTGGTTCTTCTTCCATCAAATATGGTCGCCATGTGCAGACTAATATATACTGAAAAATGGTAAATCTATAACAACCCATTTCGAAACTTAATATGATAATAAAACTCTTTGATACTTTTCTGTCAGAAATGTATAGTTTTAGATCCAATATATATATATATATATGTAATTAATGAATTATATATATATGTAATTAATGAATTATATATATATATATATATATATATATATATATATATATATATATATATATATATATATATATATATATATATATAATTCATTAATTACATGCAATGTATATACAGCTCACTGATTACATGCAATGTATATAAAACTCATTGAGAGAGAGAGAGAGAGAGAGAGAGAGAGAGAGAGAGAGAGAGAGAGAGAGAGAGAGAGAGAGAGAGAGAGAGAGAGAGAGAGAGAGAGAGAGATTAACAATTTTTGCAGTCATATCGCTACGATGTGATGTCTAGCACTAGATCCTCATTTCGCAGACATGCCGCGTGAATTTCCACCCTATCACATTATCCTGACATTATGCCGACCAGTCCTAACACTAACCTCTTAATGCTGAGCGCAAATCGAGACAGCTGTAAGTACCATTTTTGTAAGTCTTTGGTAAGACTCGACCGTGGATCGAACTCAGAACCTCCCGCATCCGAGGCGGGCGCTCTAACCATTAGGCTACCAGAGAGAGAGAGAGAGAGAGAGAGAGAGAGAGAGAGAGAGAGAGAGAGAGAGAGAGAGAGAGAGAGAGAGAGAGAGAGAGAGAGAGAGAGAGAGAGAGAGAGAGAGAGATTAACAATTTTTGCAGTCATATCGCTACGATGTGATGTCTAGCACTGGATCCTCATTTCGCAGACATGCCGCGTGAATTTCCTCTCTATCACATTATCCTGACATTATGCCGACCAGTCCTAACACTAACCTCTTAATGCTGAGCGCAAATCGAGACAGCTGTTAGTACCATTTTTGTAAGTCTTTGGTAAGACTCGACCGTGGATCGAACTCAGAACCTCCCGCATCCAAGGCTTACGCTCTAACCATTAGGCCACCAGAGAGAGAGAGAGAGAGAGAGAGAGAGAGAGAGAGAGAGAGAGAGAGAGAGAGAGAGAGAGAGAGAGGGGAGAGAGAGAGAGAGAGAGAGAGAGAGAGAGAGAGAGAGAGAGAGAGAGAGAGAGAGAGAGAGAGAGAGAGAGAGGAGAGAGAGAGAGAGAGAGAGAGAGAGAGAGAGAGAGAGAGAGAGAGAGAGAGAGAGAGAGAGAGAGAGAGAGAGAGATGTGATTATGTTATTTAACGTAGCTTTAACAATTTTTCAGCCATATCGCTGCGATGACTGCAGTGTGGCAGTTTATAGTGATGTCTAGCACTGGAGCATCATTCTGCAGACATGTAGCATGATGTCCCACCCAGTCATCCTGACATCAGGAGGACCAGTCCTAACACTAACCTCTTAATGCTGAGCGCAAATCGAGACAGCTTTTAGTACCATTTTGTAAGTCTTTGGTAAGACTCTGCCGGGGATCGAACCCATGATTTCCCACATCCGAGGCGGGCGCTCTAACCATTAGATCACCGCCGAGAGAGAGAGAGAGAGAGAGAGAGAGAGAGAGAGAGAGAGAGAGAGAGAGAGAGAGAGAGAGAGAGAGAGAGAGAGAGAGAGAGAGAGAGAGAGAGAGAGAGAGTTATTAACATCCATCAGACAATGGAAAGTGGAAACACTGGATTCATGAGGAAAATGATTGATAATGGTAGGCAGATATTAATATTTAATACAAATAATACTATGATATAGGTTAGAGAATTTTTTAGTTCGTATTCTACGGAGATTCAAGCCCAGGTTTGCAGGTAAACAGCATCTATTACATTGCCTTCACAAACCAGAACATTTCTTTTATAGGAATCTAGATTGAATGTAGAAAGATGAGACATAATTACTATGTAGCCATGCGAGTGTGTCTGTTACAGACGAGTACATATAAAACCAACTCAGTCGCATCATTCTTTGGTGTGCTTTGTCGTGATGAAATATGGGCTGTAGACATCACATTGTTGCAATATTCATGTGAATACCTCATAAATATGTTGTTTTTGGAAAATGTTCTTTCATCTAGGAGACCGGTTTATGTTCTCATTCTTTTTTAAACAACTCCTGTATATAGGGTGGACTCCATGTTTTGCAAACTTCCCCAGCTTTCTTGGGGTGGTTTATATGAATTTGATTATCGTTTTGCAGAGGTGATCGCGGAAGGTGTAATTTGCCCGGAGCGAGTAAATATAATGAATGTCTGAAAAGAAAGGTGGAATGGATAAAGGTCTGAGCAGAAATATAGAACATAATGACAAATTAAAAAATTTAATAAAAAATTCAGACAATAAAATTAATAAACAATTGTGATACTCTATGACATCTGAAAGATATACTACTCTTTGGAATTAAATTATTCAACGATTTTCAACCGCAGATATGCTGAAACAAGTAGCCGATATGTTAAGCGTTATAATTCAATCATCATCAGATCGAGTGAAAGATCGATATCACTGCCTTGTACAGATTCATAACTTGATGGTTCTGGTTCAGTCCAAATTCACTCCGAATTGTTCCTTAAAGTCTGGGTCCTATCCACATTTCCTTTTTCCCATTTTCTCGTGTGTCTCGCCTCTTTTGGCCCTTGAAACTTTGTGTGGTCACTTTGGTTTTGTAAATACGTGATACGTCACGTGGATACTCCCCGTGGAACCATCTAACCTTCCAAAAGTATACAAAATGGCAATCTAAATATTCTGTTAAGTACCTCCTAGGAAGAGATTATTCGTTTTCCTCTCGTTAATGTCAAAAAAGTTCTATCGGAATTCAAACAGATACAAACAGCCATATGGTCTAACTAAATACGACAGACTATAAACAAAATTAGTTCACATGGATGATATCCTGTAAAATGGCTTTTTCAACACTACACCGAGACATCAGGTCCCGTCTTTATCTCAATTAAAGAATGAATGAATGAAATTCCTTACGCTGCATTGAGGACGAATACACAAAATAGGATCTCTAGCATAAATGAAATTAAACAACGTTAATACGTTTCAAGTCTTTAGCATACGTGAAATTATCTAAATCGAAAAATTTACGCGGATTCTTGCAAATCATATCACTAAAGTAAGGCATGAAATTTTAGAAAAATAGTTATTAATAATAATCGAGACTATACATTCAAACGAGTTATCAAACGTATATAAAGAATATCATTGTACAGATTCATATAGATGAACTCGCACAGTTGTATTTATATAAGAAAATTGACCTACGAATCAAACCAAATAAATTCATGCCAATATAAGCACATAAATCACAAATTGTCATATTGATATCAAGAAATTACGTGAGTCGGATGCAAAATACATTGTCTCTTCAAGCTTTTATTGCCAGAATTGAGTTCGTAGATTTTTCCAGACATCGAATCCATTGGGTCATAATTACAAGTGAATTTCTTATAAATTCTACCCGGAGTCAGATAACCTTTGTTTTCTCTTGCAGAAAAAAAAATCGGTGTCAACTGATACTAAGGGTTGCGATAAACACATTTAAACGGAGAGTTTTCATGTGGATCCACGCTCTCTTTTTTCAGCGTAACCAATCCAAATTAAATATATTGCCCGCCTGAACTAGGCTCTAAACAATGCAGTTCGTCTGACAACCTCAGACTAACCAACACAGATTCCAGGTAACTTTTAGAAATAATAGTTCTTCATACAAATTGGAAGTTGATCCATATCCTTCTGAGTTAAATAAAGGAAGGCTTAATAAAGATCCAATGCTTCCATGACAGTGACATTTTCCAATCAGTATCTTACGGCGATTTAAACACGCGTCTGTCTTAGCCATAAATCTAATTAATCGTTCACCTGTCCAATTAATGTCTTCTTCATAGATCTACATAAATTTGCTCCTTTACACCATGGAACAGGTATACAACTCACCCCAACCCCACGCGAGCTCTCAAATATAAACAATATCATTAGTTTTATTGTTATTATTGTAGCTCTCTTGGGGTTTTACGCCATTTTGCAAGGCATGACACATGACGAAGAAAGTCCTGTGAGGTAAATTGGTCATGTTCCGTTTCGGGATTTAAGTTCATAAATGGCTGCCATATTGTACACAAACGGTGCAATGAAACATTTCCTAAAAGAGAGCACTCAGCAAGAATTTCATATGCTAGTTCAACCAATGCGAAAAATATAAAGTTATATGACATGTTGTTATACCAGAATTATAAAACTGCACAAACTACATACAAAGAGTACCAATAATGTGATAAATATGTGTATTATAATTATTACATAGTTTAGCAACCTACTTAACAACATTTTAATGAAAGGTTTTGATGTAATACGATTCTTCATCGCGATTAGACATTCTGGCAGTTTCGAATATCCGTCCCCCAGTCACTTATGGAGAGACAATGACAATCATGTTCGAATTATCAATGCAAAGATTATTATAAAACGTATTAACCAAATCAATTATGCAAAAAAATTGCTGTCTCTAAAAATGAAATCTAATGTGAATGAATATATTACAAAAACATTTATAATAATGACCACACAATTTACTCCACTGACAAATCAATATATAATGATGAACAAATCACTGTATATAATGATGAACAAATCACGGCATAATGATACACAAATCACTGCATGATGATACACAAATCACTGCATGATGATACACAAATCACTGCATGATGATACACAAATCACTGTATAATGATACACAAATCACTGCATGATGATACACAAATCACTGTATAATGATACACAAATCACTGCATGATGATACACAAATCACTGCATGATGATGCACAAATCACTGTATAATGATACACAAATCACTGCATAATGATACACAAATCACTGCATGATGATACATAAATCACTGTATAATGATAAACAAATCAATGTTCAAAGATGTGTGTGTGTGTGTATGGTTTGTATTTTTAAAGTAGCTTATAAAACATTTCAGTCATATCGCTACGATGTATGCAGTGTGGCAGTTTATAGTGATGTCTAGCACTGGGGAATTATGCCGCAGATATGTAGCATGATGTTTCACCCAGTCACATTGTCCTGACATCAGGACCAGTTCTAATACTAACCTCCTAATGCTGAGCGCCAATCAAGGCAGCTGTTAGTACCATGCTTGCTAATTTTTTATATGACTCGGCCGGGGATCGAACGCATAACCTCCGGCATCCATTGTGGAAGCTCTGACCAATAGGCCACCGTATAATGATGTAGAAATCACAATAATGATAGACATACCACTGTAAAATGATACACAAATCACTGTAAAAAGATACAAAGATCACTGTAAAATGATACACAAATCACTATAATGATACACAAATCACTGTATAATGATACACAAATCTCTGTAAATGATACACAAATCACTGTATAATGATGTACAAATCACTGTATAATGATACACAAGTCACTGTAAAATAATATATAAATCACTGTATAATGATAAACAAATCATTGTATAATGATGTTCAAATAACTATAATGATACACAAATCACTTTAACATGATACACAAATCACTGTAAAAGGATACACAAATCATTGTAAAATGATAACAAATCACTGTAAAACGATACACAATCACTGTACAATGATAAGCAAATCACTGTAAAATAATGCACAAATCATTAAAACCATACACTAATCACTGTATAATGCTACACAACTCAATGTAATATGAGGCACAAGTCACTGTATAATGATGTACAAATCACTATAATGATTGACGAATCACAGTGTAAAATGATACATAAATAACTGTATAATGATACACACATCACTGTTAAATGATACAAAAATCACTATATGATGATACAAAATCACTGTAAAATGTTACACAAACCATTGTATAATGATGTTCAAATAACTATAATGATACACAAATCACTGTAAAATGATACACAAATCACTGTAAAATGATAACAAATCACTGCAAAACTATATACAATCACTATAATGATACGCAAATCACTGTAAAAAATACACAAATCACTAAAATCATACAAAACACTGTATAATGATACACAGATCAATGCAATATGATGCACAAATCACTGTATAATGATGCACAAATCGCTGTATTGTGATACATAAATAATTATAATACACAAATCACTGTAAAATGATATACAAATCACTGTATAATAATACACAAATCACTGTATAATGATGCACAAATCGCTGTATTGTGATACATAAATAATTATAATACACAAATCACTGTAAAATGATACACAAATCACTGTGATATGATAACTAACCACTGTAAAATGATACACAAATCACTATAATGATGTTCGAATAACAGTGTAATGATATACAAATCACTATAATGATACACAAAACACTGAATAATGATACACAAATCACTAAAATTATACAAAAATCACTGTAATATGATAACTAACCACTGTAAAATGATACACAAATCACTGTATAATAATATACAAATCACTGTATAATGATGTACAAATCGCTGTATTGTGATA